TAATAAAAGGGAAACTAAAAAAGGTTCCGCTTATTTGTAATAGAAATTTCTTCCTGCAGACCTAAATACAGAACTAAAAGAACGAGCTTACGTGCACAACAAAACAAAAAAAAGTAATATAAAAACAATATAATAATATTAAATTATTATTATAAACTGTATAAACACTTAGATAAATATATATTTCATGGAACAGTAGATAAATAATGCTCTTTAACTCTCACTTTGAAAATAGCTAACTTTTTAGTTTAATGAACAGTAATAGGAAGCGCATGCCAAAGCCTGACCGCATGAACAGTAAAGGAGTGAGAATAGAAACTGGAATTTAATAATGGAAAAGATAACTGTGACCTAACAAGAGAGCGACAGGGTTTATCCTGGGACCGAAGAAAGCTGAAACGCTCTTTCAGGTACCCGGGAGACACAGGGTTATGTAAAATACTATAAAGAATGGACACAATATCAAATTATTTATATCATAACGTACAACGTGAAATTGTGAATCCGAGTACGTAAATAACTTTTTCACTCAAAATTATACGTCCATTAGCGATGTAAGACGATATATGCGCCATTGGCGTAAGCTCCTCGTAAATTATTCCTCCTCGCCGTATTCTTCTTTTTCTTCTTAGTACTTATGTTCTTGTTATTAATATATTACATTAGGTAGATTTTACCTTTTTGGTTCCCGAACGCGGTGGTTTCACTCGTTGTGGATCTTAGACACTAAACCACTTTAGTAGCAGTAGAACTCCGTTACCTATTTCTGCTCCTAATCTGTAATGTCAGCGTTACTGTGTTCTGGTTTTGAAGGGTAAGGGTGCTGGTGAAATTACAGGCACATGCGCCTTGTCAACTTATGTCCCAGGGTGACGGGCGCAGTGGGATTGCACCTCAGATCTTTGCGATTTAAAACTCTGAGTGGCAGTTGATCAACCCGTAAAAAGAACCATTTAAACCATTTATTTATTTAAAATGCCGTGGTAGCTTAACTGTTAGACCTGTCGCCTCGCAAGCAGAGGCTGTGAGTTCGAATCACAAGGTCATGAAATCTGCACGCCGAAGAAGGTACACAAGGATAGCAGAGCTTGTGAAGTCCCCAACCCGCATTGGAATAACTATCTCCTCGCCTGAGAGGAAATCCGTACCCAGTAGCGGGACGCATAAAAGGGTTGATGAATAAATCATTTATTTTCACGCACATCAATAGGAAACAAAACATATAACACATTGATTTACAAATAAATGGACGACGCGTCTAATACAAAAACCACGAAAAAAATGTCCCAAGTCAACCTATTTAAACGTAGTGACATGTAAAGGAATATGAAAAAGCTAAAACGTTGAATTTAAATTGTAATGTCATCGCAGTACTGTCTAATTTTGCTTGCTTCG